CGGGAATGGAGTAGAATGGAAGGAGGATGCATCGGCGGTAAACTCGTTTCGGTGCAGGGCACTAAATTAGTTGGCTGCTCCCCCTTCCCCGACTGCAGTTCCACACAGGCTTTTCAATACAATTTTGTTTGGTTCGTTCTTAATTTCGATGGAGTCAATTTTATTGCCCTTTAGCAGCAGACAACGAGGGGGGAGGGTTGAAGGGATGGGGCTCTGGCCAGGTAGCCCCGCTAAGTAGTCGCCATTGCAGTTGAGATGCGATCGAAGATGCCTGTGCACAGCAAAAAAAATTGCTAAATATATGGATAAATTGAAACTAAACATAAACTTACACTGGTCGACAAAAAAAAAGCCCAAGAGTAAAAGGTACCAAACCTGAAAGGATTTTAGTTGTAGAAAACTACCTCATACTTGGAAACTTCCCATCACGTCGCAGTTTTGAGAAATCCGTGATCAAAGTTCCAAATTTTCGATTTTTAGGCACTTTTTGCGGCTTAATAGCAAGAAAACCCTTCGTAGCCCAGAGCCAAAATTTAGCGGAAAAGGTACTTTGAACCTTTAACTTTAAGATTGTCCAATCACAAAGTTGGGCGACCTCTACTTCTTTAGCTACAATAGATTTTACTGAAGTACTTTTTGCCACTTTTTTTCATCTATAGTAGCCTGATATTTTTAATGTATTGTATGTGTACGGGACTCAGTTCAACAAGGAAAATATCAGGCTACTATAGATGAAAAAAGACAAAAAGTACTCCTGTAAAATCCATTGTAGCTAAAGATATAGAGGTCGCCCAGCTTGTGATTGGACACTCTTGAAGTTAAAGGTTCAAGATACCACTTCCGCTAAATTGTGTCTCTGGGCTACGAAAGGTTTTCTTACTATTAAGCCGCAAAAAGTGCCTAAAAATCGAAAATTTGAAACTTTGACCACGGATTTCTAAAACGTTCGACGTGATGGAAAGTTTCCAAGTATGAGGTAGTAATCTATAGCTAAAATCCTTCCAGGTTTTGTAGCGTTTATTCTTGGGCCAAGAAAAATTCTTGATTTTGTCGACCTGTGTTATTAATAAATAATATATATAATATAATTATTAATAAATAATATATTATTATTAATAAACTTATAAGAAATTTATTTTTCTAACAAATTTGTGTATTATCCTTCTTGATATCAAATTTATTCGAACACAATTTATATACAACATTCCTAGCTAAAATAGTAATTTTATAAGATATTGAAATTTTTCAAGATGCTGTACCTACATTTTTTAATATATCATCATTATTTATTGCATAACTAAAACCAAAACATTACTTCCTATTCTGGAAACTCATTTATTTTTATTCTGGTTAAGGAGTTATTATCAAATTGCCTATAACCTATACAAGCTCATTTTTACATTATGCTTATTTGATTTTATATTTTTATTCCTTAGGAATTTCATGAAAGTTAGAATATTAGAGGTATTAGGGGTAAAGAGTTCTGTTGGGTTTGAGGCGAAATTATTAAGTCTTATTATCAAGAGAAAGAATTTTCCATTTATTTACAATAATTTATTTTAATATATTATTTTTGCTCAGTGTGGACTTGCAGTCTGTCGTCTTCGGCTGAAGCCCAGTTAATTTGGTCATCTTCCATGATGTTTTGATAATGTGGCTGGAGCTGCGGACCCAATATCCAGTCGTGGTCCTCCGCTGCAGATGTCCCTTTCCACTTTTGGGTTCTTTTCTTATTTCGTTCGCTGCTGGGTTGCGCACGAAATTCTTGTCGCTGCGAATAATTACATAAATCAGTGATTTTTAAAGCGTTTCGAGTTTCCAACTGTCAATACGGCCGAACAGAATTTAGGGCTCAGAAAAAGTAAGCACATCTTTTGTCAAGCGTTTGGGGCGCTGATTGCTGGGGATTAAAATCAGCCAAGATATTAACACCTCAGGTTTCCGCGGTTCCCACAACAAAATTTGATGTTTATGCTTCCGAAAGAATTCTTGGTAAAACAGCTTCGCACCTCCATAAAAAATGGATCCCCAAATGCTTGCCAATCTGTCAGCAATTCAAATTTAGCGCAAGTAACAAAAGAAATGATTTATGCTGTTGTCTGATTGATTTTAGGCCGTAAATTGGATAGGGGGAAATAAAAAGAAGCGCTCGTAAAAGGCCGCCTTTGAGAGATCTCCGACGATCCGACAGTTGCGGTGAGTTTTTGATGCGCTTTCAAAATGCAGATTGTTCCGTTTTGCTGCCCGTTTAATTTGTATGATTATGGCCTGTCACAGCCAACGAAGCATGGTCCCAATGCAACGGTAAACTCAAGCCAATGGCCAGGCTCAAAAGCTTGTGGTTAGCATGGGTTCAAGATGTGGATTGGTCAGATCGGATCAGCTCAGTCAGCTGTCGGTGGAGTGTGTCAGGTACCCAGCTTCTTGGCCATCAAAAAACTGTCTCTTCTTTATAAACATTTTAAATAAGAAACTCCAAAAAACATAAAATATATGAAATATAGTACCGAATAGATATTGTAGAAAAATAGCAGACCTATTATATTGTAAAATAAATCTTAGACTTGCTAGTGGTTGTGAAGTGTAAAAGCAAAATGACAAAAAAAACTCTTAGGGCCGTTTTCTCGTCCGTCTGTTAAATTTAAAGTAGGGTTAAAACCTTGATATCGTATGGGAAATCATTGCTTTAACCCTACTTTAAATTTAACAAACGGACGAGAAAACGGCCCTTAAAGAAATCCACATTTTGTTATAAGGTATTCCCTCCCCTTTTCTATTAAAAAACGTGATGCTTTTGTAAGTTTTATATGATTTACTTATATTTTCCTTGTGCACAAATGTCGAAAATGTCCCACCAGAATGTATGAATTTTTTTTGTAATTTTTCAGTATTGTTTTGTTTTAGCATATGCGGTTATAGCTGGCGGCTATCCCCTCACAATCATAATATGGTTATCGAGTATATCCATCGTTTAATATTTATTAATGAGTAAGTTACGTTCTCATATGCGTAAGTTGGGTACATGTAATTTTAAAATATATATATATATATTTCTGTTATATCTGTTGTATCACCACGAACACACATAAATACAAATCAAGATTCCATTATGTATGCAGTTATTGTAATGGCAGGGAGCTTCCAGAATCGTCCCCATGGATTTTCGATTTAAATTTTGGGCAAATGCTGTTTGCTGTTCAATTATTGCATAGTGAAGTGACACAACTGTATGAATGCCAATAACATGCTGTACCAGATCGGTAATGCGGGGAAGGGTACTGAACTTGGAGCTTATACCTTAATGCGGTCTATATATCTTATATACAATGTACATGCATGGGTTCAGGGGGCTTTCGCTTCCTATTTACACAAGCAACTCATTGCGAATGCATCTCTCTCCTACTCACTGTCGTCTGGTAAACACGGATCCAAATTATATATTCTGTATCGAACTCTTTACAAACTATAATGGCTGTGCTAAAAAATACATGCTCTCGCTCAACTAATTCGGTGCTCGACTGGTTATCTGTTATCTGCATTCTGTGAGTTGTAGGTAGGTAGTTCTGGTCTGGTGTTTTAAATTATTATCGTCTTGTTGCAAAAACTATTGACTGGCCGCCTTCGCTCTCATTAAAATCGTTCCTCGTTCTATGTTTCTGTTTCAATTTCATTCAATTATTGTGCTGCACTGCAAATGAGTTTCGATTTATTCAAAAATGTAGTTCGTGTAAATATCATTGCTTTGCTAATTGTTATTCTGTATATATAGTAATGTAACATTTGTATTTCCCCCAACAATTTCACCGTTTATATAGGCTAATCTGTATTGCTTGCATCGGCTTGAATTTTGAATACTCCTTATGTACAGCTAAAATGTCAGATGCTTCGCTTGCCGGATCCCACTGCCTCTAATACTGTCCTGGAGTTGCGCTTAGATCCCGCTAGGATATGTCCACCTTCACTTCACTCCACTCCACTCTCTCCTCGGCGTCCTTTTATTTCGTTTCGATTAGATAATTTAAATTTAGATTTAAATTTATTTTCAATTTCGATTTGATTTTGAGTTGTATTTGCGATTTGCCAAAAATTACGATTCAGAGTACCAACTACAGTGTGGAAAATTTACACAGAATAAATAATTTAATACATTTAATTTTAATTTGCTTCCATTTACATTTACAATTCATCCTCGCACCGCCTTTTGAGTATAATTGTTCGCATTCATGCCTGGGAAATTGCTAGCTCTAGTTAATTTACGTTTAAATACAGATGTCGGAGTTGCTATAAGTACAAAATACACTTTAAAACTTAAATGAGCGCTTCGTTGGTGCTTAAAGAATAATCGTTAAAATTAGAGTTAGAATTAGAAGTGTAGAAGACAAAGCGACGCAGCTTTGTGCACAAAATACTGTTGTTCAAACGATGGATCGATCGATCGGATCGGATCGGAAATTGGTAGACAGTTTTTGTACGTGTTCATTTGTCATTTGTCAGCGTTCATCCTGTCCGGGCGCCCACTGTAGATGGCTTCTTATGCGATACGGTTTCTAACTGCTATTTTATGTCGGCTAATAGTTATTGTTTATACTGCTGTTGCTGCCGCCCTCGGATGCTTAACAAACTAAATACAATTTTTCTCTTGCATACTTGTTGTTGTTCGCCTTGGCTGATGATTGATTTTAATCAAAGCTTCCCCTTTTTCTTGACCGACGTAGGACGTTGAATACTCTCGCGTGTGTGTGTTTTATATATCTACTATATATAAATATATTTTAATGTGTGTGTATGCTGCGCTTCTAGACTATAACTATCCCCTAATTATGTACAATCTCTGCTTAGCCTACTCTAATCTCTTGACCAAAATTGTGCTGCTTCAGTTAATGCTGTTGTCGTCTCCACGGCCTCCTCCTCCGCTTGCGGTGTGGCGATCAGGGTGACCATCTCAATGGGATGCGTGGCTGTGCTGATGGAGGTGCCAGTGGTGATGCCGATGTTGGTAGCCATCTGGATCTGCGGCTGGCCGGTGGTACTGGATCAGGAGTGCTTGTCGGTCAGTTCGCCCCAGCGTGACTCAAAGAACTTGCGCATGCCATGCCCCGCCTTGCCAACGGGCGAATCGTCCTCGTTGAACATCTCACAGTTGTCGAAGATCTGACGCACATCCACGCAAAAGTCTTCGCGGGCTTTGTAGCTATTTAAATTTGAAGTAAGTAAGTAATCACATCGTTTTGTAGAACTTATCTTGATTTACTCACCTCAAATCCAGCAGTTTCTTCTTGATCGTGGACAAGTCCATGGGAATTTTGATTATTTTTCGATATGTGGGAAACTGCTTGGTATTTACGGGCAATAGAAATGGCCAAGAGTCCTCATGGAGCTGAATGAATTATATATTATTTATACAACTTAGTTTTAAAGACTTCATTAATTGCCCACCTCCATTTCCCCCAATAGCGTCTTGCAGACGGCCAGCTCCTTCATGAGCTTCTTGGTGGCGTGCTTCTCCTTCTTCTCCTGCTTCAGTTTCTCCTTGGCCTCCTGAATGGCGTGTATGTTGATCGGCGGTGGCGACATTTGGTTCGTTCCTGTTCCTGTTCCCACTCCAATGGCTGGTGGTGAGGGCATGGTCATCAGCTGCTGCGGCTGCTGCTGTTGGGGCGGCGACTGGCAGGCGGTTACATGGAGGGCGGTGGCTGTGGGCGAGGCCTGCATGAGCAGCGGTGTCGGCGGCGGTGGTGGCGGAGTGGGCGCTGGCGTCGGTGTGGGCGTTCGGGTGCGGGTGGGCGTGACAGCCCGTGGCGACATGGCGACCACATTGGCAAACTGCATCGCCGGTGGCACCGCTGGCACCGCTGGGTTAATCAATCCAGCCGAGAAGTTGCCAGCCACAACGGGCGGATAGACCGGATAGCTGCTGGGCATCACCACATCCTCCAGCAGGGTCGCAGTGCCATTATTCGGCGGAGGGATGAGATGCGCTTGGAAGCGACTGCTGCTGCCGTCCACCGAGTTGTTGGCATGGTGCTGGTCATCGTACGTCGTAGCCGAGGCCACCGAGTGCGCCGGACTGCAGAGAGCAGAGGCATTATAAACTGGAACCTGGACCTCACAATCCGCCGCCCCCTCAGCCGCCCGCAGGCCCCCACACTCACCTCAGAGGAGCCGCCGGCAGCGAATTCATCGACTCATCGTGCGAGGAGTTCAGCGACGGCGGCTGCTGATGATGATGATGGTGGTGGTGGGGATCCCCGCCTGCCAGTGGCTGCATCTGCTGCATCTCCATGGCCGGAGTCTTGCTGTTGTCGCTGCGTCGCTTGGCCGATCCACCCGAATCCCTTTCCCGGTCCCTCCTGGATTTGCTGCTGCTGCTGGCCGTTCCGCCGGCGCTGCGCTTTTTCGGCGGCGGCGCTCGGGAGATGCAGCCGTGGCAGTACCACTTGCCGCGCGGCACCTTCAGCAGCGGCGGTATGTAACAGTCGGCGTGGTAGGCACGCGGGCACAAGTCACAGTAGATCATCTTGCCCACCGGCGAGGGACGATGGCCGCCGCAGACGATGCACTTGCGCTCATTGGTGGCCTTGTTCACGCACTCGTAGCAATACCTGAAAGGATAGAGGGGATCTGAGATTAGCAACTGGGGATCTTCTTCATCGGGGGTTTCGTTTTGGGGGAGGGAACAGAGAGTAACAGTGCCACAGTTTCTCAACGGTTAACGATCAACGATCAACAAGACAACGCGGATTAATGTGTTTCTTTCTTTTCTTAACTTGTAATCTATGACAGTGACTTGTGAGGATGGAGGATGTACAGAGATAGAGGACTGGTACACAGGTACTCACCAATCGCCATCGGGAATGTTGTCCATCTTGGGCTTGAAGCAGTAGGTGTGATAGCCCTTGTCGCAGCCGTCGCACAGTAGCAACTTGTCCTCGTTCTCGCCGGACGTGCAGAACTGGCAATTCTGTAAGGAATTGGAATATTTGCTAGAGTTTGTTTGGTTGCCTGAGCGTCTGCGTTTGCCGCCGCCCTTCTTCTTCGTCCGTGTGCCAAAGTCCGAGTCGGAGTCGCTAGTGATGGGATTGGAGGATGGGGATGGGGACTTGAACTGGGAGAGGGATTGGGTTTGGGTTTGATGCTGCGAGTCCTGGCCACTTTGCGCCAGAGCCTTCAGGTTGATTTTGATGCTCAGGGGAGCTTTCTTCTCTGGCTTTTTGGTTGGAGTTTCTTTGGAGCTCTTTTTTCCATTGGTGGTCAGCGGCGGCACCTTCTTGTTTTTCTTCTGCTGCTGTTTTTTGGCGCTGCTCTTTTTTTTGCTGGACTTGTTTTTTGTTGCATACTTTTCGGTGAAAAAAACAACAATTCTCCAAAAATGGGTGGGGAAAACAGTCGTGGTGGTTTTGGTGGGTTTTGTTTGTAGGGTGTAAAATACGTCATACATAACATCCACAAAGTGGAGGATGTTTTTTTAACATTAAGTTAACATTGAAGAGCATTCATGTATATGTGTATGTATTTGGTGGATTATGTACGTGTGTGTGTGTGTGAGTATGAAAGCGTAAAATATTTTGAATTTTTTTTCAAACACCATGAAACACCACAAGCAACAAACAAGTCAAACATTCAGCAAGAGACAGTTAAGAAAGACAAATAAAATCGGAAGGAGAAACAAAACAAAATTCGAATTAATTTCACAGGCAATTTCAATTTTTCATATTCAGAAATGTTTTAGAAACTACTTAGCTACAATTGAAAAACAAGAAATACAAGTGCGATCACGGTTGCCTTTTAAAAGTGCGTAAACAAATTCAAAATAAAACTTTTTCAAAAACTCTACTTTTATCACAGGAAATTGAATTTTTAAAAAATTTCATTCACAACTTTAGTTATACAACAAGCCAAAGTTAAAAACTACATCTAAAAAAGGTACAAAGTGCATTTATCATTTAAAAAAATATATATATTTTAAAAAAAGCAACCGTGATCTTAGCTCTTCAACTCCTTTGTTTTAGTTGTGGTGAATACGGTTAGTGTGTTTAGTATCAGGTGGTTATGCAATGCGGTGTGTACAAATATGTGGGTTGGTGAGTAGAGGAGAGGTTAGTGTATGTGCAGCCAAAACAACAATGGGATGGACCATAAAAGTGGCGGGTGCCAAGCATTCTTTTTCGGGGGGTTTCAAAGGATTCCAAAGCCCTCCTGGTCTTACCGCTTTCATGATGCTCTTGTCCCAGGCCACGCAGGATTCCAGGACGTACAGGGCCATCGCCAGCTGGGCGGTGGTGTGCGACCGAGACACTGCATCGCGCCACTGCACCAATCCTTTAGGGATATGCTCCACCTTCTCATCCCGATCGCTGTCGCAGTTGCTCGCTGGTGACGCATTGCCGGAGTTCGGTTCCCCGCTGCCCGATTCACAGGGAGTAACTCCTCCGCCGGCCGCCGCGTTTCCTCCTCCTCCAGTGGCGTTGCCCGTTCCGGAGGCTGCTGCTGCCGCCGCCAGAGCCATTGTGCGCTCATTGAAGGATGACGGATTCAGGTTGTTGCCCGTTCCGGATCCTTGCTGCTGCTGCTGTTGGGCCAATTGTTGCTGCTGCTGCTGCTGTTGCATCTGCAGGAGATATGCTGCCGCCGATGCGGAATTCTGCGTCTGCGTGGTGGTATGCTGGTTCTGGGCAATCACCGCCAAGTGGGCATCGCCTGTCTGCGAGCCCAGCGGAGGCTTCAGGTAGCGCCTTTCGATATTCGCCTCCAAATCGATAATCCTCTCCCGGATCATGGGTATAATGCTCACGAAATCCTCCTCGCTTACATCCTCCTGCGAGTCCAAGGTGAGTTCACTCTCCACGCGATTGGGCAATTGCCAGTTCTTCAGTTGCATCGAAGCACTGGCCACTTTGTCCTCCAGGGATTCCAGTTGCTCAATGAGGGCCAGTTCCACACGTTTCGCGACTTTGGGATTCCAATCGCCCTTCTTGTCGGGCATAAGGAATTCCTCCGGAAACTCTGTATCCGATTTGAGCTGATAGTTCACACCCAATGGCTGCTCGAGTCCCAGGAATCGCTGGAGATTCTCCTGCAACTCGCGCTCCCTCAGGCCAGATGGATTCAGGGTCTTGAGCACTTGGCGCAACTTCTGTTCATCGTCCAACTGCCACCAGCCGTAGCGCTGTCTTCGCGGCACATAAACCCCATGGACTCGTTCCGGAAAGCCCGCCAGCTTAACCTGCTCCAGCAGACGGTGCTCATCGGGAGTCATGGAGAGCGGCAGCGGTATGTCGATGGGTATATACGTTTGCACACTGCTCAGCGACATATTGGCTATGTTGTGGTAATACGCCTGCGACAGAGCCTCATCCAAACGCAGCTCAATCTTGGGCTTCACATCAGCAGCTCCCTCGCTTGCCCCTCCTCCCGTATCCGGGGGCGCATCAGAGCGCAAGCGAAAAAACTTGTCCTTGCCAGCCAGTTCATCTGCCGCATCCGTTTCCATTTCGGCCTCCATATTCCCATCCAACTTCAGCTTGGCCCGCTCCTCATCATCTTCAGTCGCGTGGTGGCGATGAGGAGAGCCCAGACCGTTTTTTGACTCCACCTTGAGGGCCTTGAACTCCTCCACCTTGGCCATCATTTGCTTCTCATCGAGGCCGCTCAGCGAGAAGATGCACTCGTTGCCCAGCTTGCTGGTGTCCACCTTGCACTCGTCCATGGGTATCGAGTAGTACTGCATGTTGTTGATCAGATCCCAGGGATGACCCTGCAGCTGCAGCTGGGCGGAGCAGTTCTGGTTCGCGTAGCTGTGCTGCAGTTCCTGGCCCACAACTCCACCCTCCTCGGCGGGCAGCTCGCTGATCAGCGGAACTTCGCGTCGCACGATGGAGAACCACTTGGGCGTATCGTCTACACTGGATGTGGAAACTATAATGCAGTCATCCTCCTTCTTCATATCCTCCATCTTGATCACAGCCTGTCCAAAGTTCTGCTGCTGCTGTCCCAAATTCAAGCCAGTTTCCAACTTATCACAGTTGTCGCTTCCGTTGTTGTTGTTGTTATTGTTATTGCTGTTGTTGTTGTTGTTTAGGGTGGGTGGCATTAGGATGCCAGGCATGGCGGGTATCTTGATTTCCGCCTCAAAGTCCGTCTTGGTGGATATCATCGTCGTGGGCGGTGGGCCCATTAGCTCCATCTCTGACTTAACCTTGATCTCTGGCCTAGGAGGTTCTACTTTGGGCAACGGCGGAGCTGCATCATCGTCATCGTCGCCCAGGTCTACGATTTCCGGTTCCACCTTGTTAATTTCTGTCACATCATCATCGTCATCGTCCTCTTCTACATGGGAGTTTGGTTGATTGGTCTCAGATGGCTCAATATTCTGAGCTGGAGCTCCATCATCCAGTTGCGTGAGGGATTCATCCACCTCCATTGGCTGTTCAGCTGGCTCCACCGCTTCTGCTTTCTCTTCCTCTGCGATTTCCTTCTCGCCAGCTGCATCTTTCTTGTCATCCATGGCCTCCAAGGCCTCGTGATAGCCGCAAATATCATTCTGGGCCGACTCAAGGGCTTCGATAAAAATGCCACCCGCCTTGGGCAACTTCCAGTAGCGACGCCAGAAGCGATCCTGTCCAAAGCAGGCCGCCCTCAGTTGATTGGTGCTCTTCTCCAGCGCCTCCTTGCAGTTCAAAGAAGCCCGCACAATCTTGTCCAGCTTCTTCTGCAACTCATCGGCACTCAAGCGATTGTCCTCGTCCTCCTCGACATTCGTGATCTCCGAATCCAAGTCGGAGAGATCATCGTCGATAATGCTAACATCATGGTGGTGCTCATCGTTAATGGAGTTGCGTGCTCCGCTCTTCTTGGCCTGCAGCAGGGCACTCATGTCGGATCCAGTGGCTCCACTAGTCGTGGGTGTGCTAGATCCGTTGATCTGATAGGTGGGCGTAGCCGTGTCCTGTTTGTTGGGCGTAAGAGTGTTGTCCGCTTGGATGATGCTTTTGGCGGGGCTTACAAGTGACTCCTCATCGGCCACGCCATCCACATCCATGGGCTGCTGCTGCTGCTGGGGTTCCTTGGTGCCTGCCGCCTGCTCATCCTGATCCTCCTCCGCCTTTGGCTTCTCGCCATTGGGTGAACCCGCCTTAGCTGCCTCTTCCTCGGTGCCAGCTGCAGCTGCTGCCTCCTCAGCTGCTGCGGCCTTGGCTTCCTCCTCCGCCTTGAGGCGTTCGGCGTCCAGCTTCTGCTGCGCCATCAGCGCCTGCATCGCCGCCTCGCGCTCCGCTTGGGCTCGTTCATAGGCCTCGATTCGAGCCTTGCGCATGTGGAGTGCCTTGTACTTGCGCACCTTCATGTCCGTCATGTACTTCTCCTTGCGCATCTGGGCGCAGGTCTCGAGGCTGCCGTCAATCTGGCGTAGCACCGCCTTGTTCATCAGCAGATCATTGCAAAGGTGGGCCAGCATTTGCGCCTTACGCGTGGGATTCAGTGCCACGAAGGGACGATCCTTCAGCGAGTGCGACAGCTTCCAGGTGTCGTTTTCGTGGAGCAGCTTGTAGTACTCCTGGTTCTTTGCCGAGTGTGAGTGCGTGGTGGAATCGGTATCCACCTGGTGATGATCGGGAACTCTCCTCTCGCGCTCGCGGTCCACAGTGATGCCGTGCATTTGACGCACCTCACCCGTGGCCGTGGCATACAGATAGATCCTCAGGATCTCAGACACATTCGAGTTGGTTATGTCCGCATTGCGAAGCGATTGTCCCAGCAAAGTGGTGTGTCTGCCGGGATTGGGAACACCCGGATCCTCGATGGCACAGACCAACAGATGCGTCATTACCGACAGTAGTTCCTCTTCGGCGTCCGCACTGCTATCGCTAATCAGAGCATCGTGTAAATTCTGCAGCGTTGGCAGTGATTCCATGTCAAAGCCCAGAGTCTCTCCGAAATTGTGCAGGAATTCGAAGACCATCAGCAGATCGGCCATCGCCTGGCCGGGAAGGCGGTTGCCCGCAATGCGATCCAGCTCCGGGATTACCAGCTCCTGTGGCATCTCCGAGTCCTCGTTGGGTCGCCGTATCAGCTGCAGGATCTCTGCATCTCGCTTTCGCTCCGCCATGCGACGCTCACGGAGCAGCAGGCGGTCCAGCACCAGCTGATGCTTTTTCTTTTCTCGATCCTCGAACTTCCGCCGCACCTCGAGCATCCGGATGAGGCTCATGTGTTGGCGACGACGCTCGCGTTCCTTTTCAGAGAAGAGAAAACAAATTTTAATTTTGATTAACCCTGCCTTCATATCAATTTCCCAGATATCTTACCATTTCGGCAGCCAACAACATCTCTTTCTGTTTCTGTAGTTCCTATGTTATAGAAATAGAACAAATAGGTTAATAGAAATAAAAGTATCAACTGAAACTAAGATGGCAAAGCTGGGCTTGGATGAATAAAAAGAAAGCGTGAAAGAAACTCGGACAAATTTTGAAATCAAATAAAAGTTAAAGGTAAGCCAAAACTTTAAACCAATTCTCAGTGAGAATCATCAATTTCTATACATAATTTAGATTAGATAGCTCTTAGGATATTAATAAATACAAAGGATAATTGTGCTAGTAAAATTAGTTCTAAAAACAATTGAAAACCCCCTTGGAAAATCGTAAGCCCCAATTTAAGACGGATATGGAACGGATTAGGATCAAGGACAAGACAGAAGGTAAGGCATGTGTACCTGTTCCTTAGCTAAAATGGCCTCCTGACGACGCTTCTCTTTCTCCTATTGCAAAACAAAACACAAATTATGCACTGATTGTGGACAGGCAAACGTAATCTAGACTGACCTGTTGCTTCTTAAGCAATTCCTCTTGCTTAAGGCGATCTAGCTCCTCCTGACGCTTTTTGCGCTCCTAAAAATATGTTTCGCATAAGAAGATAATCTTCACAAGACTTTAACCTTCAAAAGTTACCTCGACGGCCTGCTGATTCTTGAGCTCCTTGTCCTTGCGCTGCTGCTCCAACTTGGAGTTCTTCTCCTGGCGTGCCTTCTCCTTATTCCTGGCCAACTCCTCCTTTTGCAACTTCTTGGCATCACGCATCGCCTGCTGTTGCTTGGCGATCTCGATGCGCTGCTCGACGTTAAGTGTCTGGCGGGTGAAGACCTTTAAATCCTCCAGCCGCTTGGCCACATCCTCGTCCGTCATCCGTATGTACTCGCCATCGTTGGCGTACGGCGGTGGTGCGGGCTGCAGGAATGACCCAACAATGGCTCGTGCAGAGAAACTAAAGTTCTCACGACTCAGATTCGATGGCTGCTGATCCAGGATCTGTGGAAATTTTAGGAATTTAGCTATGTTCTTAGATGCTTAGTGATGTTGTGTGCGCTGTGGCCAATTTGTTATTTTTATGTTTTTATGAATAATATTATTATCCAATTACTGTTGAGATTTTGTAGTCAGTGTTATGGTCTGTATTATTTTAAAAGATTCAAAAAAGTTGCCCTACAAACTCACAGCAAAAACCTGTCCGTTGCTCTTCAAAGGCGCCGTGCTTCCCGGTGCATAGTAGGTGACCTCGCCGCGGATCTGGCCTTGTTTGGTCAGTCCACGGATCACCGTCTCTCGCTTCCATCCCAATTCCAGTGGCACCCTTAGCTCAGCCACGTTCAGGATATTGGCGTCCTCACTCTCGGATTCTGAGAGTCCGCTTTCGGCTGCCACGCTCTCGGAATCCGTGGAGGTCTCCATATGAGCATTGGCCTCGCTCAGCGCCAGACGAATTTTTTCCTGGAAAATTATTAAATCAAGAAATTTTTCATGCATTATTTTGTAATTAACTCACAATATCAGCACCCTGTTGAAGAAGCTGCTGGGTGGCCAGCATGGGTTTTAGGCCCACAGCTCGGGATTGAGCCAGCAGCGAAGCCACCGTGTTCTTCTTCGGCTTGGATACACCGCGTCCAAGATTACGAGGTCTTCCCTCTTTGTAAGAGGACGATCCCCCGCCGGATCCAGATCCAGATCCCGAGCCACCAGAGGCTCCTGTGCCGGAACCTGCCGGAGCTGGGGAGGTTCCTCCGCTGCCCGAAATGGAACCGCCTGGCATGCCTCCAGTTCCTCCCAAGGCAGCCGTGATTGAGCTCAAGCTCTGCAGGCTATTTCCGCTCTGGCCAGTGGCCACCGCCTGGTAGTCGCTGGCCAAATTGGCCAACGCTGCGCTGGAGGAGGAGGACGACCCTCCTGCGGGAGTTGTAGAGCTGCTACTGTTGCTCTTGTCCGAGGGTTTCATGGAAAGATTGAGGGGCGCATCAAAGTCATCGATGGTGATGGGATTCGAGGCTGAGCCCACGGCTCCGCTGGGCGTCAAAGCGTTGGCGTTTGCATTGGCCTTTAGGCTGAGATTCACACCGCCAGAAGTGGGCGCCAGATCGGTGGTGAGGTCGTGCACCTCTTTTCCCTTGCTCGAGAGGTTGTAGGCCCCGTTAGAAGTGATTGTTGGCGGCAGTTTGATCACCTCCACGCGGTCACTGGAGCTCTGGTTGAGCAGGTTGCTCCCTGCTGAGGAGGAACTGGTACTGGTTGTGGCCGCCGTCGAGGAGCTGGCCTTGCTTACGCTCAGCTGATCGAGGGGAGAACCACTCATGCCCGGCAGACCGACCAGTCCGGCCATTCCAGGAATTCCGGCTGCTCCCAGCATCCCGTGGAGCTGCTGCTGCGCCTGATGTTGCTGCTGGGCCTGCTGATGTTGCTGCTGGGCGGCGGCAGCCATCGCTGCGTACTCCATTTCGAGTCTAGCCCGCTTCGCGGGACTGAGACCTGGAAATGCAAGCAGAGAGGAAATGGCATTTGTGGTGCTGTCGAGCTCTTTTTGTGCTTGTGCTTGTGCTTGTTGCTGTTGTTGGAGTAGGTGTTGTTCTGCTTGGTGTTGTTGTTTCTGTTGTTGTTGTGTTGTTTGCTGTTCAGTTTCGGAAATTGTCTTTTTGCGACCGCGCGAGGTAGTACCAGGTATCTTGGGTCCCACAATCGAGGACGTGTACTTGATTATCTCCGTGTCCGGTGGCAAACGAACTCCAAGTAGAGACGGATGCTCACTGCCAGTGCTGTTGGGGAATAATACATTTAGTATCGAAATAGTTATGCTTTTAAATCTTAAATTACCCCATCATGTAATCCTTGGCGCTGGACTTGCCACCCGATCCCGACGCGGAACTGTTGCCGCCCATTTGTTGCTGCTGCTGCTGGGAGGAGTGATGCGGCGAGGAGGTTATCGTGGCAGAGGGCGACACTCCAGTGCTGGCCGCAAAAGCATTCATGGCCGCCTGCATGCTCTGTTGCGGCGTCATACCCAAAGCTCCAAACTGCGACAGCGAGTTGAGGGCGTTTAGCGAGGGATTGTTCTTGTCACGATCTTTGCCGGATGAAGATGACGACGAACCCAGTCCCGCATGCGGGGACATTAGCGGATTGCTGCTGGCCAGACTGGGATGCATTCCTCCCAACGATGAATTGCTAGCGCTTACACTGGTCGAAGCCTTGCCACTGGACATCAGGCCACCGCCACTCCCCATTCCCAATCCATGGCCGTGCATTGAGGAGGATGAGGAGCCGCCTCCACCGGACTTCTTGCCGGATGAACCGCTTGAGCCCGAGCCGGAAGCAGCGGCTGCCACGGCCTGCATGGCCAGCAGCTCCTTGTGAAGGGTCACCGGATCGTAGGCGGAGCCCGGATTGCTTGCCATGCTGCTGCTCGTCATGGTCGAGGGTTTTCCATAAGCGCTGGCCGTGCTCTAAAAGATTAAATTAAGAAATCATTAGTATTACTATATAGATTTATCTAATTTTTCCAGTAAATCTCACCTTGTAGCTCCCATGACCTCCACTATTGGTGGGTATAGAACCGCTGCCTGTGCTCACCGAGGGAATGCTGGTGCCCGGCACTCCCACTCCGAATCCATGCATACTGGCCAACGCAGCTGCAGGATTGTTGGCCGCTGCTGCTGCTGCCGCCGCAGCTGCCGCATTTAGACTGTTGGCCAGGCTCTGCTGCTGTTGCTGCTGCTGCTGGGCGGCTCGTTTCTCCTTGCGCGACTTATTCGACTTGCTGCCCGAGGAGCCAGATGAAGAGCCACCGCCCCCGTTGCCACTTCCACCATTTCCACCGCCTCCGCCTTGGCCGAGGACACCTGCTCCGCCACCTCCAGCACCCGCTCCTCCAGCTCCACCGCCCATTCCCATGCCAGCGGGCCCAAAGGCAGCGGCCAGATCGGGATGCGGGAATGGTGAGAGGCCCGAGGCCTGCAGGCGACTGAAGTAATCCTGGGCAGCTAGCTGGGCCATCGACCACCAGCCTGTAAATCGAGTAATTAGTGAGTTAGAAAGGGGGTTTGGATCATTGTTAAATCAATTGTTGCATTTGCAATAGAGTTAATTTGAGCCAAAAGTGAATAAACTTTTTATTACAAGTATTATTTTATTACAACTAATTCAACAACTTTTTAAAGACGTAAAAATTTGTCTGAGTAACTAGTTTGAACTTAAAGAAATTTAAACATCTCACTACGATATTTGCACGTTAAATACTTGACTATTGTTAAGAGAATAAATAAAATTTACTTAATTATTATAATAAATTGTCTTTTAGATTTTTTAATTATAAGTTAAATAATAGAAATAGTCAAAAGCAATAAAAATTACACTAAAATATTTGTGCTTGACCATTTTTCACTGCCCTGCTCTAGGAAAAGCGTTTTGGGCAGTGTAAAGCGAACAGCAAGCTACTAAATGTAAATGCTCTAGGAGTATTTTCTTCAAATGCCTTGCACAATGAACAAGACATTTGCTGTTTTACTCCATATAATTTAGATAAAAGCTGTTTTCACCAGGCGGGAATCGAACTCGCGTGGAGTTTTTATGGAGATTCATGGAACGACGTCGTCTTAACGCTTTGCGCCAAGGCAGTCGCTAATTTCGCACCGTCACAAATATCTTCTTGGGGTGCGCTACTAAAATACGGAATGTGCCGACATTTTACTCACTTGCTGGATGCAAACCGGCCAAACTGGCGGCCTGAGAAGCGGCCACCGCCATCGTGTTCTGGTGATGATGGGCTCCCGCCGCCGCAGCCGCAGCAGCTGCCATGGAATAACGGTCATTGGCAGAAGCGCCTCCGGCTTGTGGCAATAAACCCAATCCGGCGGCAGCGGCAGCATTGAACTGCGAGTTGAAGAGCGGATTGGAGGCCGCTGCAGCTGCCGCTCCAGTGGGATCACGTCCCCAGTAAGCTGAGAAGGTGGGAAAAATAAAAAATATTATATGAAGATCGTAACTCACGAGTTTTCGAGAGTAAGTACTCACCGAATAGGGAAGCTGCATCTAGGAGGCCGGTGGGGTCGTGCGGCCCCCCGGCTCCAGCACCCCCTCCCGCATTCGAGTTTTTGTTTGAGTTTTTGCCATCGCTGCCATCGCCGGCATTTTTGTTCATGTTCAAAATCCCCTAGATCTCAGGACCAACTACTGTGCGTAACATGCGTTTGGAATCTGCAATAAAATTGAGAGAAATATTGTTATTTAGAATAATATGCTCAATTTAACAACTCAAACACATTAAAAAAAAAAAAAAAAGCTTCCTGATAATTACTAATTTAAAATTAAAATACTAATAATTAGGAAATTTCCATCAAATTTAAATGTTTCATTATATTTTTTATCAAATAGAATCTGAATCTTAATTGAAATCACAACACTTGTAATCCCCAAGATACAGTTCATCAATCGGTTTCGATTTTCAGCTTCTTTCGCCCTTCGCTCTTACTCCACTCTCTATGTTGGCAATGCCGCAACGCTTGGGCGAAACTCGAGCACAAAGCGGAATCGGCCGAAATATGGAAAGCAAAACAAAACTAAAAAAACTACACGCCAGCGAGAGAGAGACAAACACACGCACAAAACGGAAGCACAAGTCTCTCTCTTTTACCACTACACCTGCACTCTATCGGCAGAGCGGCGAAAATCGGCGGCGAATTCAAAATTTACGCACAAGATTGCATTTTGTTAAACAATAAAAGAAAAAATCCCCCTCGAGAAAAAACTTGAACTTTACAAGTCATGCGCAACATTTACCACTGCCACTAATAAAAAAAAGAGGAAAAGAAATGAAAAGAAAAGCCAAGACACCCGCACACACAGACACACGCAGACTGCAGGCGGCGACTGCGAAACCAATGCATACACAAGACGAAAAAAAAAGAAAAAATTCCGTTCACAGCATTTTGCACTTTTTTAAGCAACGTTCTTTTTTTTTGTTTCACTTGGCAAATTCATTCATAAAATTCGTAAAGTTGTCTGTCTGTGTCGCTTTATGGAGATTTTACAGACAACTTGTCTGCTGTTTTTGTTAAATGACTTCGTTTTTATTACTTGCGCTGCGACAGCAGTTAACGGCATTTGTTTACACTGGCTATTGCATTTTCCGCTATTTAAATGTACAATTAACAAAAATATTTACAAGCGCCGTTTGGCGACGCGTCCGTCTGTGTTTGTGATTTCGCGGCGAATGAGCGTGTGGAGAGCGCGGAGAGCAGAAGAACCGCAAGCGGCGACGGCGGACCAGTGGAAATGGAACGCAAAAGGGAGAGTGCGGGCGGAGGACTGAGCGAGAGCGAGAAAAAACCCCACAATTGTTGTTGCCACGCACCGTGGTTGATAATTGCACTTTTGTTTTTGTCATTGCTTATTATTATTAGTTTTAGCTGTATTAATCACTTTAATGAGCCAACGTTTAGCCCGCTAAGGTGGGTCCCACTGTGGCTCGCTAATAACTGTAATTGCGCACTCTATTTTCCTGCTTTCTTTCGGTTTTATTTTATTTTTTTGTTGTCACGCATCGGCAGGCGACAGATGTGCGCTCTTATCAAGGGGAGGGGGTGCTAGTAGAAGAGAGGGAGAGTGATGAAGAGAGGGGGGAGTCTGCAAAAGAGCGCTGGCAATTTATAACAAGCAAGAAATAAAACAAACGGAACGGACAGACCGACTTGGTACAGTGGAACTTGCTTAAGATGACCTGACATTGAACTTAGTTAAAAGAGTTTAATTGATAAAATATTTTGTATGACTTTTTAAAATAGGTAAATGGAAAGCTTGGTTTCTTTTTGCTGGCTTATTTTTACAAACGGTTATACTTTCAGTTTGTAACAGTTAATTGTATTGTTATATTTTAGCAACATACGTCATATTTGCAAATGCCAAGTTACATAAAATTGGTTTTAGCGGAAGTAGCACTGTAAAACTTTGCCTTTCGCCTTCTTCTTCAACTTGGGCATTGCTTTTGGGTTCACCGCAAGTGGGAGGGTGAAAGGAGGAGAAATGGTGTGGAGGGAGGGAGGGGGAGAGGGGGCACAGGGAGCAATATGATTCGGGCATTTGTCTTTGACACTGCCACACTTCGCTGCCTCTGCCGACGTCGCGGGGGTGGCAGCGCAGTCGGCTTCGACGGAGGCGATTGGGAAGGTGTGCGTTTTTCTTGTTCTTGTTGTTCCTATTTCTTTTTGCACTGTGTGTATTTGTGTGTGACTCGTCGCCTCTCACTCCCTCCTCCCCCTCTCCTTCTTCCACTCTTTTCACATCAATATTTGTGAGTGACAGCAGCGAACAAATGTGAAATTCTTCTCATATTGTGCTGGCGTCACTCCACCACCAACACCCCCTCCTCCTGCCACCCACCACCCCTGTACTCCTGCCCCTCTGAAATACCCATTGTTATTTGCTCTTGATTATCTTCTCTCTCTAGCTCAATTGGCCGACTGTCTGTCCATCGCTCATGAGTTGCCTTCATTTCTTTTTTATTTGTTGTATTTTTTCCCTGCCGTTTTTGTTGGTTTTTTTTTTCGAACGTGTGTGTGTTTGCCTTCGTGTTGTATCTTATACCCATACACACGCAGATAGCACCGCCGTTTCGTTTGATTTGGCATTAAAAAAAGTTTACGGCTGTTTTTTCTTTGGTCAATAAGCTTGAAAAGCTAATCAATTGCTCGAAAAACAAATGGAACCCGTAGTTCTAAAACTTAAATTGATCCCGTAATATGATTTCATTCGAAATTACATAAAGTTTTGTGACTATACGTACTTCAAAGAATATGAAATTTTATAATGTTGTCAAACATTTAGCATAGACAACACAAATGTATAAAATAAATGATCTTTGAAGTATGGAAAATTTCACCATTATTTCTTATTTTTTGGTTTATCCAAATTCACATATCCAAGAGAATTATTTGTGTATTTCAAATATGGTTTATCTTACACTGGCTACAAATGTATCTCAGCGGTTTAAATGGTAAATATGTAGTTATCGATGATGAGTCAGGTTTTTTTCCTACCAATTTCGAATTAAAAACTCTGTAACTATTAGATCTTTGTGTTTTTGTTTAAGAAGTAGTATTTTGTATCTTGATCCTAGGCAAAAGATTGGATGCATTTTTTAATCGTTTACTTGGGGCTTCGGAATCTTGAGGCATAAGTTTGGTTCTTCTGGCCTTCTGACTTAACTTCTGTGGATTCTTCTACTTTTTATTCGTATTCTTTTCTGCCCTATTGTTGTTGGCGGCTTTTTTTTTGCCCCATCCAGTGTGGGAATGTGTGGGAAAGAGAGGCATAGTGAGCGCGAGAAAGAGAGGGGAAGAATGTGAGTGCTTCTGACTCTTCCTCTTTTTTTTCTTGTAGCGAGTGAGGTTATTGACTCAAAAAGCAATATACCCCAGCCACTTTTTTAGCGTCCAACAAGCCTGAACTGCAGTCTGCGTCATCGTCTGGCGCGATCTTTAGTCTCGTTTCCCCTTCCCCTTCTGCTTCATTCCTGTCCCTCTTTTCAACGCTTCTGCAACGCCTTCAGATCGAGTGCAGCAACAACAAGAATGCAATAACTTCAGCCGCAGCAACAAGTTCCAGTTCCTCTTATTTTTTCCATTTTGTATCAATCAATTTACTGCTCTTAGTTTTAGGTTTCATTCGAAATAACGAATATTGGAAGTCTTTTCAATTACAAGATTTATTGGATTTTTACTAATGCATATGGATTTTTAAGTCAATTCAAAATAAATTAAATCGCTCCATTGCAAAGCGATTTTAACTACTTTCCATAAAGTCTTCCAAATGCATTAAAATTCCCTCCCTAAATCTTAAAGAATGCAGTAAAAGTGCATAATTTTTTAGGAAACTCCTCAATCTGTCTTGTTGTTTTTCTCCATTCATTTTCCTGATGTTCATTCTGCCTTTAAACTCTTTACCTGAAAATGCTTTCCATTTTCACCTCTTGAACCTGTGCGATTTGGCCAAAACGATATAAAATATGCAAAATCGTTGAATTGCATTAAATGTTCCAATTAAACAATTTTCCAGCCAATTTATTTAATAGAGGTATTTACTCATTTCTAAAATGTGCCGCATTTTGTAGAAAATAAAGCCTTTAAAGCCGATTACAAAACCAATACTTGGTAAACATTTAATGAAAGGGAAATGCTCAAAGTAAATTCCATCTCTCTTGACGAGCAAGTAGTTTTTGTTAAGTTTAAAGAGCAAATATCAATGTGCATAAAGTTAGCAATGCAACTTTTGAAAAGGCAAATTTTTTTCTATCGACAATTTGCCGTTATTTATCCGTAAATTATTCGTGAAAGAAAAAAATTTGCCGCTCAATTATTTTTAAAATTATGAGATGTTCTGCTAAGTTGATATCAACACCCCCACTAAAGTGCAAAATTTCCAAAATCTTTTAATGGGAATTTGCCGTTATTTATCCGTAAATGATTCGCGAAAGAAAAATTTTGTTGCTCTTGTTTTAACATTTTTTTTAAAAATCATAGTTGTTCTGCTAAGTTGATATCAACTTAGCAGAACACCCCACTAAAGTGCAAAATTTCCAAAATCTTTTTAATGGGAATTTGCCGTTATTTATCCGTAAATGATTCGCGAAAGAAAAATTTAGTTGCTCTTGCTTTAACCTTTTTTTAATAATAGTTGTTCTGCTAACATATGTATGTACAACGCGGACGGTAGCAGAGCTCTGCTGACGTCGACGTCAAATGTGTAAAATTCCCGCGAATTCTGCTTCTGTGAGAAGCAACATCCATTTTCATGCTTTAACATTTTTAACTTTTCATTATGTGTAATTCTGTAAATAATATTGACTCAGACTCACTGCAGAAATTAATAAACCTCCAGAACGCAGAATTCGCGGGAATTTTACACATTTGACGTCGACGTCAGCAGAGCTCTGCTACCGTCCGCGTTGTACATACATATGTTAGCAGAACAACTATTATTAAAAAAAGGTTAAAGCAAGAGCAACTAAATTTTTCTTTCGCGAATCATTTACGGATAAATAACGGCAAATTCCCATTAAAAAGATTTTGGAAATTTTGCACTTTAGTGGGTGTTCTGCTAAGTTGATATCCACTTAGCAGAACAACTATGATTTTAAAAAAAAAAATGTTAAAACAAGAGCAACAAAATTTTTCTTCGCGAATCATTTACGGATAAATAAC